TGTTTTTGACAGTCTAAGAATTATATGAATACTGAAGTCATATTCTTAGTCAAAAGAATAAATGGTGTTTGGTTATTGCCTACTGCAACTCTTCGATCAGCACCATTACTAATCTGGGAGCAGTCTCTAAGGAAAGGGAATCCAAATGCTTAAAAGGCTTACTTCTTAAGTAGGAGATCACTGTCCTTAGAATTGGTTCTTGGTAATAGAGTTCTAACTCAACACTGAGTCATGATAGGTATACCTCAGGATAACTATTCATCTCTGATGACTTACTAGTTTTTGGTTGATTCTCCAGGAAATTCCCTGAACTGTTTAATTGGTTTAAAAACTTTCTGGGCTATAAGGAGTCTGTGCATTTGGAAACCTTTCCAAAGGAACGAGCCACAGAGGGCATTGCCATGGAGATAGATTACGCCTCTTGTAAAAGGCTGGGCTCCAGCTATCGAGCCCTGCCCAAGAGTTACCAGCAACCCAAGTGTACAGGACGGACTCCACTCTGTAAAGAGGTAAGCAGCAGCACTAGATCCACAGTGTTCTCCTAGAGGAAGTGGTGGTGCTGGGTTTATTTAGAAAATTTGTATGAATGACAAAATCAAGAACCTCTCTTTGTTAAAAACGAAAGGTTTTTTGCACTTATATTTAGAATGTCTAGCTAGGTAAACTTTCTAACAGTGGAGTTCATGAAATCATGCTGTTTCTTTCCCTCCCTAGAGTTTTGCCTTATCTTTTTTTTAAAGAATATTTCCATCACCAGACTGCTGTTTTAGACTTTGGTTACAGTCTGTGTTTGTACCCATAGGTTTTGAATGACACCTGGGTTTCCTTCCCATCATGGTCTGAGGACTCCACTTTTGTTAGTTCCAAGAAGACTCAGTATGAAGAACATATTTATCGTTGCGAAGATGAACGCTTTGAGGTATGCACCACTTTATCATTTGAAGTGTGGAGAATTGTGAGGTGCTGAATGAAAGAGCATCTTTTTTTGTGGTTACCGGGGATCAAACTCAGGCCCTTGTGCTTGCATGGCAGGCAGTGGAACCACTGAGCCAAATCCCCAGCTGAAATACTTTCTGTGTGGCTTGGTTTTTTTGAACAAGAGAACCAAAAGACTCACATTCTTCTGTAGTAAATGCTTGTTGCAGTGTTTACTACCCCTTATGGATTTGTCAAGTGATAGTAAAATATGGTGAGTGTGACTTAACCTAAGCCACATTTGTCTTGAAATTATCCATTGATGACTGAAGAAAAATCCATTTGGTTGTAATTTTTGGTTTGCATGTTAAAGATCATTGTGTTTTACACATTGTGGGTCAGTAAAATAGTATCTTAAGGTCTGGAATGGCTTTCTTGAGGCTTTTGCCATGTATTTAGGCTGGCCTCAAACTCATAGCAGTCCTCCTTCCTCAGCCTCCCAATTACTGGGATTACAGATGTGTGCCACCATGCCCAGCTTGAGGCTGCTTTTAAATGATTTTAAGTGTCTGTGTTATTGATTTCTTGATGTGGATAGCAACCATCTCTGCTGTGAGAACTGAAATTTTTCTCTTAATTTTCTGGTATTGGTTTAGCTTCTTCTCAAAGAAAGTTAAATTAGGGACTTCATTTTGAAGTAGTTGGAAGATCTGGAGAGAATGGATGGGATAAGCTGGGGGAGGGCCTGTATCAGAAGAGGACCTACTTCTCAAAATGGGTTCAAAATCCTTCAGTGTTTGAATAGTTAGTTCACTGATACACCATCACCAAAAGAAGGTATCTGCAGAGCTGAATTAAATATATCTGATTTAGTATATATATTTTTAATTAATTATTTATTTATTTGCAATACCATGGATCAAACTCAGGGCTTTGCATTTGCCAGGCAGGCACAGTGCAACTGAGCTAAATCCCCAACTCTAGTATATTTATTAAATTGGCTGGTTTTGCTTATTCATACAGATTGGCATGTACCTTACTCTTTTATCCAAACTGGTTAGGTTTCCTCCAGTTTTCCCTTCAGACTTGCTTCAGCTGTTGAACTTGTGTTCTGAGTGAAGAGCCAGTTGCTGCCTGGTCACAGGCCAATGGTTGACCATCTTTGCCTTTAGCATTTATTTATGAGAAATTTCAGTTGTTTGCAGTAAACAAAATCATGATACCTACTAACTTCCAGAGGGAGTTTCATCAATTTAAAGAAAATATTTCTGGGCCGGGGATTTAGCTCAGTGGTGCCGCCACCTGCCTCACAATCTCAAGGGCGCAAGGTCCTGAGTTCAATTCCTAGGACCAAAAAAAAAAAGCATTTCTTTGTTACCTATGTTAGCAATGTTAGGTGCTAGGGTAGAAGTTCCTATTCTCTCTCAACTTGTATGCCTAGAAATAAGAGGCAGCAACCACCTCATTTTCCTTCTGTGCCTACAAATGGAGGTGAAAGGAGTGAGGTGGTTTTGTGTGCGTAAGACTTGGCTAGACAGGATAGTTTGAAGCAGTTCCTGGGTTAGAAATGCTAGTATTAACCAACAGATCTCAATGGTTTGCTTCTTAATCATTCATGCTACATAGTGCATTGGTGTTTGTTTGTTTGTTTTTCTAGTACTGGGGATCAAATTCAGGTGTTCTGCTTGCAAGGCAAGCATGGCACCACTGAGCTAAATCCCCGGCCCTTGCATTGGTGTTTAGCAAGGGAGTTTGCTCATCAGATTTACTTGGGGACCCAGGCTGTCAGAGTACTCCTATCTCAAATATTGTCTCTAGAAGCAAGAGTGCTCAGCAGGATCTTGTATCCTTAAACATTCCAGCACAGGGCTGGGGATTTAGCTCAGTGGTTCTGCCACATTCCTCGCAAGCGAAAGATCCTGAGTTCAATCCCTGGTACCAAAAAAAAAAGAAAAAAATCCAGCACAGAGGTAATAAACAGATCTGTCTGACCTTACCTGTTTTATCAGAACTAGTCATATGACCCTATCCAGTCATTTGGGAGCCAAGAAGTTTAGTCTGTCATTTGTCCAATGTCTACCACAGCCCCCCCCCAAAAAAAAATAGGAAACGCTTCACATGCTGATGTGTAGGCCCCTGAGACTGCTGATTTTTTACTTTTCATTTGGAGAGTCTTATGTTTAAATAGAATGTTCAAAGGTTTTCCGTCATGTCTTTAACCAGGAGTTCAGTAAGAACTCAAATGTTAATGCATCCATACAATTCTAAACTTCAGAAATGATAGTCATTTGTGTTCAAATGTTCATTACTATTAGATATAGAATATTCATTAAATATTTATTTCAAACTACACTAAAAAGACCTCTCAGCTGGACATGGTGGTGCACGGCTGTAATCCTAGTATTCTGGGAGACTAAGGTAGGAAGATTAAAGATTCAAGCCTAGCCTGGGCAACTTCATGAAACAAAAGAAAAAGTTAGAAATGGGCGGGGGATGTCTGACATGTGATTAAAAAATATAATGTGTTTACATAAAAAACATTTACTAGGCCCGGGGATTTAGCTCAGTGGTTCGGTGGCCTGCCTTGCAAGCGCAAGGACCCGAGTTCAATCCCTGGTACCAAAAACAAAACAAAACAAAACAAAAAAAACATTTACTATATTAAAAAATACATTGCCATTAGGTCCTCTAAAAATCCTCACTTCAGACACACTTATCTATCATTCTTGATGCTTTTTTTTTTTTTTTTTTTTTTTTTTTTTTTTTTTTTTTTTTTTTTTTTTTTTTTTTTTTAACTTGGGTCCTTGCTCTTGTGAGGAAGGTGGCAGAACCACTGAGCCAAATCCCTCACCCTCTTGATGCTTTCTGAAGGAGTTCTAGAAGTCCTCTTTCATGAGTAACTTTAGTTACAGTGCCGTGACAGCCTGGATGTCCTGAATATGTTCAAAATGTTTCCGTTTCATGGTTATTTTGACTTTGCTGAAGAGCCAGAAGTCACACAGAACCACATCTAGTGAGTAAGATAGATGAAGGTGCACTGTCATTTTTTTACAAGGCTGTCTTTCCATTGTATGGCACTATTTCTGACCATACTTCATAAAGACAGGAAGAGGACTTACAGAACTCTTCCAAAAGTGGCAAGAATGAGGGATAAGTGTGTTCAAAGTGAGGGGTAATATTTTGAGGGAGCTTAATGGCAATGTCTTTCATTGTACTAAATTTTAAAATAATTTAAATATCATATTTTTATTACCACTTATAGCTCAGTGCAACAAAACTACTATTGATTCATCTTTTAGGATTTCTTTTTGGATTTTTCTTTTCTTTCTTTCTTTTTTTTTGAGACAAGCTCTTACTATGTGTAGTCCAGTCTGGCCTTAGACTTGGCAGTGCTCCTACCTTAGCCTCTATAGTTCTGGGACTACATGCATGTACCACCATGCCCCAAAAGGCATTGTTTTGATTATTATTGCTTGTAACAAATGGTGGATATTCAGGAAAAAAATAGGAGTGAAATAGCTTCCCATTTAGTCCCTCTGTCTAGTCAGCAGACCACAGCAGAGCATACTGTACTGGTGGTGACAGGAGTGACAACTGCTATTCCCATTTTTATTGGATGTTCTTAACTGCCAGACATTGTGGTAAACACTGTGGATCATATCATTTGAACCCAGAAAACAGCCTTAGGAGAATGGTAGATGCTGTTACCCATATCTTACTGGTCAGGAATGAGTCTTACGTGACCATAGTAGAGCCCGACTTTCAGTCCAGGGAATTTGACTCCCTCCTTTATTCTCCTGCCTGCTTCTCTTCTGTTTCGGGTCCTGAGCACCATTCTTTGTCTTGTCTTTAGCTTGATGTAGTTTTAGAGACCAATCTGGCAACCATCCGGGTTCTAGAAGCAATACAGAAAAAACTTTCCCGCTTGTCTGCTGAGGAACAAGCCAAATTCCGCTTGGATAACACCCTTGGGGGCACGTCGGAAGTCATCCACCGGAAGGCGCTGCAGAGGATATACGCTGACAAGGCGGCGGACATCATCGATGGACTGAGGAAGAACCCTTCCATTGCTGTTCCGATTGTCCTCAAGAGGTACCCAGCAAGCAGTGTGCCTGCTGCACTCAGTGTGCTTCACAAAGGCTGGAGGTTCTAGACCTTCTGTTTGGAATTCTCTGTAACCAATATTAGAGAAGAAACCTTGAATGTTACAGTGGAGTGGTTTATGTATACATTTGAGAGGTTTTCAGTGCTAGGGATTTAGCTCAGGGGCTCTGCTGCCTGCCTCTCAGGAGCAAGGACCTGAGTTCCATCCCCAGTACCGGAAAAAAAAAAAGGAATAATATTTGAGAGGGTTTTAATTTTTAAATATTTTGAAGAGGGGCTCTTTCTGTGTTGCTCATGCTGGCTTGGACTCCTGGGCTCAAGCAGTCCTCCTGCCTCAGTCTCCCAAGTAGCTGGGACTTCAGGTACACAGCACTGTATCAAGAAGGAAAATAACCACCCATGTTCTTGTCACTAAGTACTGATTGTTGTTAACATTTATTTTATATTTGTTTGCAATGTTGGGGAATGAAAAAGTGCCTCACACATGCTAGGAAGGCTCTGTAGTATTGAGCTCCATCCCCACCTCTTTTTTAAAAAAGTTTTGTGACAGGATCTCATAGGTTGTCCACATTAGACTTGGACTTGGTAGTCCTCATGCCTCAGCCTCTTGAGTAGAGAGTATTATGGGCATGCACTAAAATGCTGAGTTTTAGTTACGTTTTTTGTGGGGGTTTTGTTTGTTTGTTTGTTGTTTGTTTTGCTTTTTTAGTAAGAAAAACCACTCTTTGTTGTTTAAATTTTAATACATGGTCATTATAAAAAAGATTTAACTTACCATGTTTACCAGGAATATCATCTTTCAGCTGGGCATGAGGGCAAATAAGTAATTCCAGCACTATGGGAGGATGAGGCAGGAGGATTACAGGTTTGAGCCCAGCCTGTGCAACTTGAAGACTTAGGTGAGACTCTGTCTCATAATAAAAAATAAAAAGGAGGGGCTGGGGATTTGGCTCATTGGTTGCGCCGCCTGCCTCACAAGCACAGGGCCCAAGTTTGATCCCCGGTACCTAAAAAATAAAAATAAAAAGGGCTGGGGAGTTAGCTCAGTGTAAAGCCCTTGGATTCAATCCCAGTACCACAGACAGCAACAGCAAAAAACTCTACTTCAGATAACATTCATCACTGTCAGACTTGGCTATAAAGGGGCTGTCATACCTACCTCATGTGTGGGAGATGAGGCTGGGCCCTGGTATCTTCCATTTGTGGTACTCTTGCTGTACAGTAACACTCACACACGCGCGCGCACACACACACACACACACACACACACACATGCCCTAACACAGATCAGCGCTGCTGCTTCTTCCTGTCACAGCAGCAATTCACCTGGTGAATTTACTTGTGCTGCTGCTTTTGGTTTTTCTTCTCTCCTGAAGCATCAGTGGTTCTGATCAGAGCTTCACAGATTGTCCAAAGCAGCGATCTTGTACCCATTCTCCACTCTTAGACTTTGCATTACCATCAGCATAGCATTCTGAGAGTTTTGCAGCGGAGAAACAGATTTGTTTTTGATAGCAAAGGAAGATGACCTCTTTTCAAAGAATTCTTACTGATATCCCAAGGGTATGCTGTGGAGTACTTTGCTCATATCTTCAACAAAAAAAAGAAAAAATGTTTGTATGTGATGCTTTGGAATTGAACCTAAGGCCTCTTCCAGGCTAGACAGGCACTCTTCCAGTCAGCTATATGTCCAGACCCTGAAATTCTCTATGAGAACTAATTACGCTAATAGAGATTTCTGACCTCAGGATACATTTTCCCCTCCTCCCCCATATAAGACCTGAACGAGAAATTTCCTTTATAGAAAAGTTTGAGATTGCCATTTATCTTGGATGAGAATTTTCCTTTATAGAAAAGTTTGAGGTTGCCATTTATCTTGGATGAGAATTTTCCTTTATAGAAAAGTTTGAGGTTGATAACATTTGTCTCAAGTTACCAAAATCATGATAGACCTTATATGCCTTTGACTTTGGCGGGTGGCACTAGGGATTGAACTCAGAACCTTTCACTTGCAAGGCAGGCACAGTGCCACTGAGCTAAATCCCCAGCCCTTGATTTTTGTTTGTTTGTTTGTTTGTTTTTGAGACAGGGTCTCACTATGAGACTGACCTGGAACTCACTATGTAGCCCAGGCTGGTCTCAATTCACAGCGATCCTCCTGCCTCAGCCTCCCTAGTGCTGGGATTACAGGCATGCACCAGCACACCAGGCTCTGGCCCCTTGACTTTTGAAGTAAAGTAAGTGTGGCATGTTTTCCATTTCTAAACTCTGAACTCCTCTGTGTTTTTCTTTCTGCCCTCCTCCCTACCCCACTAGATTGAAGATGAAAGAGGAAGAATGGCGAGAAGCTCAAAGAGGATTTAACAAGGTGTGGCGAGAGCAAAATGAGAAATATTACTTGAAGTCTTTAGATCACCAGGGCATCAACTTTAAACAGAATGACACGAAGGTCCTGAGGTCAAAGAGCTTACTCAATGAGATTGAAAGTATCTATGATGAGGTGAGTTGGTAAGGGAGTTTACATGTGTGAAAATGCCAGTCTTTATGGTTAGCATAGCTTTGATTCTTTGAAATTCTTCTTTTTTCTCCCCGAGTATTGGGATTGAACTGGGGATGTGCTTTTGAGGCAGGTGGCAGAACCACTGAGCTAAATTCCTGGCCCTGAAATTCTTTGTTAGAAGAAATTGAGTCCCTCTAAGACCTGCTGATTCTTGCTCATGACTGTCATAACATTTTGTATTCTTGATAACTGCCTAAGCCTACTCTTCTACTTAACCCTATCTCATTAATTTCCTAATTTTCCATCTTAGTTTCAGTTTATACCTCCCACCTCTCCCACCATCTAATTCCCTAAAACAGTGCCTTGTATTTGTGTAAAACATTTCAGCTTACAACTTAAAAACTTAGCAGCAACCCTGGGATTCTTTTTGTCAGTGCTGTTACTATGTCACCTTTCATAGCCCCAAACCTCGTATCATGTCTTCTGTAAGTACTATTCCAGAATTTTATAAGACAATTTCAATTCTGTGCCGGTGTCCATGTATATTATCAGAGTCTGTAAGATACAAGTCTTTTTTCATCTACCTGTTTCTGGGTGAGGCACAAATATAAGGTCAGTTCCTACATTTTGGGTTGAGCAACCACTGCAGTTAATACCTGGTGTGGTCCTCTGTTGTGGTCCAGATTTGTAGCTGCTATTAACATTCAGGGAATACTTTTGTGTCTCCTGTCAGAGGCAAGAGCAGGCTACAGAAGAGAATGCCGGTGTCCCTGTTGGCCCGCACCTCTCATTGGCGTATGAAGACAAGCAGATCTTGGAAGATGCTGCCGCTCTGATTATCCATCATGTGAAGAGGCAGACCGGCATTCAGAAGGAGGACAAGTATAAAATCAAGCAGATCATGCATCATTTCATTCCAGATCTGCTCTTTGCTCAGAGAGGCGACCTCTCAGATGTGGAGGAAGAAGAAGAAGAAGAGATGGATGTAGATGAAGCCACGGGGGCAGCCAAGAAGCACAATGGTGTTGGGGGCAGCCCCCCAAAGTCTAAGCTCCTGTTTAGTAACACAGCAGCTCAGAAATTAAGGGGGATGGATGAAGTGTACAACCTCTTCTATGTCAATAACAACTGGTATATCTTTATGCGACTGCACCAGATTCTGTGCTTGAGGCTGCTACGGATTTGTTCCCAAGCTGAACGGCAAATTGAGGAGGAAAATCGAGAGAGAGAATGGGAACGAGAGGTGCTAGGCATAAAGCGAGACAAGAGTGATAGCCCTGCCATCCAGCTTCGTCTCAAGGAGCCTAGTGAGTGCTGAGACTGTGGGTGTGAGGAGCATGTGTAGGCCAGAGACCTCTGGGTTGGGGATGGGGGAAACTGCCTTGGTTATGAGTGAGGTTCAGATCTTAGCTCTGTTACTTTCTATTGTGTGACCTTACTTAAACAGAGTGAGCCTCTTTGATTGTAAAATTCATTAGCTAATTGTCACCTTAAGAGGTTGCTGGGGGAACTGGGAAATGAATGTGTAGGATGCTGGGTAGTGCTTGGGACATGTATGCTTAGGCAGTAGTTGGTGTTGTGGACACATCAGGGGTAGGGAATCGCTTGCCCAGGTGGCACATTTCTGGATTACTGCCCAGGGTTTCAAAGGACAGAGACTAAAATGTAACAGTCCTTTCCCATTTCTTGACAAGAACATACATTCCTGCTTAATCATGCCTAAGATGATCAGAACTTTCTCAGCCATTTATGAATACTCCTCTTTAGTGGGGATCATCATGGCTTGTTTCTAAGTAGAAATAGTTGCTAAGAAGAAGATTTGAACTCAGTGCACAGAAAATGCAGAACAGGAATAAAGGTAAGAGATTTCAAGAAAAAGAAGAGGGTTAAGGAAGCCATCATATGCTCTTAAATAAATTCTGTGCTGCCTGCCTCCAGGGTACAGTTTAGTTTATAAACAAGCTACTTAATCCAAGGAGCCAAATCTTTATCAAGAGGCTTTTCTTCTGGGCTCTTCAGGAACTAGCAAAGCTGAGGAGTGAGGTGTTTTGTTTTGTTTTTTTAAAATGGGTTGCTCTTGTGCCCTGGTTTCTTGATTTATTATGGCCTGAAAGACAAATTTTGGACCTATGCATAGTGATTCCCTCTGCTTTGGTAGAAGTCAGAGATGAGCTGAGTGTGGCGATGCACACCTGTAATCCCAGCCCTCAAGAGGCTGAGAAAGGTGGATTGCTTGAATTCAAGGCCAGCCTGAATTTTTTTTTAAAAAAACTAAGAGAAATGATCTAATCCTATCATTGGCTATTGACTTACTGGTGTGAGCTTGCACAGTTTGCCCCTAAGTGGTGGTGCCAGCTCTCGTACTGGCCAGAGCTTGCATGTGCACATTTATGGTTTGAACTTCTCCAGTTTTATTCTGACATAAAGGCATTTTTCACAGCTGGTGCATATTTCAGAGACCATGTGCGTGTCCATTCAAATAGGTATACTGTGACAAGCTCAAGGCAGCTATTCATTTTAAAGAACTGTTGTCCTGTTTTGCCTGTCTATAATAATTCCATCGTAATTCAGATAAATGGATAGACTTGGTTTTGCTCTTAGTCTTTTTTCTCCTATATAAATGGTAAATAGGTAGCCAATTAATCAGTGAGTTTTTTATTTTTATTTATTTATTTATTTTAGTTTTAATTTTTATTTTTTGGTGTACTAGGGATTGAACCCAGACCTTGTGCTTGTAAGGCAGGCTACAGCACCACTGAGCTAAATCCCTGGCCCTTTTTGTAATTTTTTTTCATGTTTCTCAACTTTTTATTGAGGTTTTTAGCACATTATACAGAAAAGATACAAATGAGAATCATGTACTTTCGTGAATTTTTCCTCAGTGAACACTGTTGTGTTCAATAAAGATCAGGAAAGAACACAACCAAGACCCTAGTAGCCTCTTTGTGCCACTATCTTGATTTCTCACACTAGAGATTAGTTTTCACACTTCATGTGGATGGGTCTTATGTTAGTCAGCTAAAGGTGCCTCTTTGCCTAGTCCTTATATCCTCTGTTGATTGCCAGAAGTCTCTTTAGTGATAAGATTCTTACGCACTGGTGGGTAAAGTGATTTATATATAGCAAGTATAGATTATTTAGTGCAATTTGTGAAGTAAAGAGCTGCAAATCCATTTTTAAACAAAAAGACTTTGACAAATGTAGATTCCTTCATTTTTCATAGAGAATTTAATCTACACTCTTATTCCTTCGTTCCCGAGCAGGTTCCAGTGCTAGTATACAGCTGAGCCTGTCCTTCTCTGCACACCATGCTGCATTGAAATAGCACTATGAGCAAGTGACCCTGGGGGCGGGGGTGCTTATACATGCTGAAAGCCCGCCACTTGGAGCCTTCTTCCTGGGGTATTCGGTGCACCCATCCTGCAGAGCCTGGCAGTACTGTTAGGTCTCTTTCTCACATGGGCAGAGTTGCCAAGCCACTCTCAGGATAGATAGCCTAGTGACTGATGGCCACCTTTCAGGTTTCAGCTCTGTCTGCAGGGGGCTGCTTGGACATGGCCTTAGTAGCTAGTTTTGTCCTGATTAAGCTAGAGCTATGGGATTTGCCGTGCTCTTTGTCCCTGATCTTTTCTTACCATGGTGAAACTTCATCTGTCCCGTCTTTCCTGCAGTGGACGTTGACGTGGAAGATTATTACCCAGCTTTCCTGGACATGGTGCGGAGCCTGCTTGATGGCAATATAGACTCCTCACAGTATGAGGATTCTCTGCGAGAGATGTTCACCATTCATGCCTATATTGCCTTCACCATGGACAAACTGATCCAGAGCATTGTCAGACAGGTGAGGACACAGTGGAGGGTAGTGTTGGTGACTGAAGAACTCCTTATCTGACAGTGGCTCAGGAAAGAGCAAAGGCATCATTTCTGTGGGGAAGGAGAAAGGAAAGATTTAAAGTTCAGTGTGACTTCTCCCGTTACAAAGTGGTCATTCTGGCCACTGCAGTGGCTTTGTGCTGCTCAGTGTGCCCATAAGGTACCTTTCAGGCCCTTGCTTGCTGGCCACCTCTAGAGAGCACCCTGCCCTCCTAGCACCTTACCCAGAGCATCCTATAGCTTGTCTGTGAGGAGAAGACATTGCCTTATCTTTTCTATAGATGCTCATGATTTTGTGTACTTGCTTAATTGAAAATTTGAAGTACTTTTACTAGGGAAGGTTTTCATGTAAGTTTTTATACTATAGAATATTTTGCTTACCTCATGTATCTGAGGTTCCCTCTGAGGTTTGTTAGTTAGGTTTGGTGTTTTGTTCCTTGGTATCTTCTAAACATGTGATTCTTTATAACAATGATGTCTTTATAACAGATATCTTACTGCTATGATTTCTATCCCTTGGCCTTGAGTTCTGATCTGAGAAGCTATGATTAATAACTTTGATAAAAACACAACAAAAGAAATTCTTGTTCTAGAGGCCACATGGCTGCTGTAGAAGGAGAGATTGTTCAGTTTTCTTTTGATTTTGTTTTGTTTTCTTTTTTTATTTTTTGAGACAGGGTCTCACTATGTAGTTGAGACTGACTAGGAACTCACCATGTAGCCCAGGCTGGTCTCAAACTCACAGGGATCCTCCTGCCTCAGCCTCCCGAGTGCTGGGATTACAGGCATGGGCCACCATGTGCAGCTTCAGTTTTCTTTTGAAATAAAATATTGAATCTTTTGCAAAGTAGTAGTACTTTGCCTTGGTTTATTTTTTGAGTTCTCACTATGTAGTTCTAGCTGTCCTTGAACTCATTATGTTGCCCAGGCTGTCTGTGAACTCCTGTCTCAGCCTCCCACGTGCTGGGATTACAGGTGTGTACCATTACAACCAGCTTCCCTTGTGTTTGGAAGGATATGTACCTCCCTGCCTGCCCATCCAAGACTGTGGCAGAGTATTCTTAAGTAACTGGATCTTAAGTCTTAGAGATCTAGCAATCAAATTCTCTCTGAAAATCAGAAAAGCTGTTGAACCTTCCCATGTGGTGACCAAATCATCATACAGATGCAGTCACCTCTGCTCACAGGTATTTTTTTGTTTTTGTTTTTGGCTGGGGGGCTGAAGTACTGAGGATCTTAGGGCCTTGAACTTGAGAGGCTGGCATGGCACAACTGAGCTAAATCTCCGGTCCCTGCTCACAATTTCTGAGAGAAATTCCATTAATCCTCTTAATTTTATCTAAAATACTGACTCCATTTACCTTGTGCTGTTATTTCTACTTATGCATTTGCTATTGGTACAGCCAGGAATAGTCTTTCATTCACCACTGTAAATACTTTTTTTCTCATTGAATCTATTGGTACATTTTAGGTATGCAGTACAGTTATATTCATCATTGGGATCTTGTACCTTTACATGACAGGTCTTGATTCTCATTTTTCCCCAAACCCCTGCCCTCCCTTCACCCCCTCTAAATACTTTTTTAAAAAGTCAATAAAACCTACTTACTTTTTATAAGCCTGAAGTTAGTTTTTGAAACAGATATAATTAGTCCTTTTACTAGGAGCTTCTGGTTATGGTTTTGAGTCAGTGACATGTACTGTCTCAATCACTTTTTTTTTGGTACTGGGGATGGAATTCAGGACCTTGTGCTTGTGAGGAAGGCTCAGTACCACTGAGCTAAACCCCTAGCCCTCCATCACTTTTTTATGGAAATGGTTTTCTCTAGAATACCCTAGATAGTTTTTTGTTTTTGTTTTTGAGACAAGATCTTGCTATATAATTCAGGCTGGCCTTTAACTCACAGTGATCCTCTCAAATGCTGGGATTACGAGCGTGCAGCACCATGCCTGGTGCAGGATACTCCAGATCAGAGAGTTTGTAAACACAGTCAAGCTTCTCATCTTTTTTTTTTTTTTTTTTTTTTTTTTTTTTGGTACCAGGCATTGAACTCAGGCCCCTGCACTTGCGAGGCAGGTGGCGAAACCACTGCACTGCCGGCCCAAGCTTCTCATCTTAACTCCTCAATTGGAAGCATCTCTTTCACTCTTGTCGCTTTGTGTTCCCCTTAGTTCATTGGTAACTAGAGGTAAATCTGTTTCAGATTCAAGCCATGCATATTTATCCAACCCTTTCCAGGCTTGCTGAAGAGGAATTTATTTTAAGTATGGATAGGCAGTTATACATACACAAGCTTCAGAACTACAGATGGCTTTACCATGTAAGGGCTTGGCTGGACTTCTTCTCTTCTGCATCCCTTCCTGCTGTCCATCTGCTCCATTCTGGTGCTCATCAAGACAGGACAGTCAGCATGTGCTCCAGGCTCCTCCACTCCACTGATCAGTGGTTTGCCAAGACAGTTGCCTCTGGCCCCAGCAGTATCCAGCCTGTCCATACAGATGTTTGTCTACGAAAAAATCTACCAAACATTCTGTGTGTCATTGCACATTACCATGAGAGAGAATCTGACCAGCCTTTAAAGTAGGAGGGCTGCTGCATAGTTGTTCCACTCTTAGAGAAGATTTAAGGAAAGACCAGTTAGCCAAAAAGTGGATGTGGGAAGGGAGTAAGTGACACAGACTGCTTTGATAAGAGTACAGATAAGGAGAAGTATTTGTGCGATAGCATGCTTCGATATCCTTTTTCACCCAGCTTTCTTTCTTGTTTCTCGCTATGTCCTACATCATCACCTCATAGTAAGCATTATTTTAATGGTGGTATCCAAGTCCCTTATAGACTGATTTTAATTTACTTAACAATTTGCAGTGGCTGAAGTTACTGCCCTTTCTACTACCATCAGATGCTCACCCTTTTGACTTTCCCTGTGGCCTAGTGGTTATGAGAATTTCAAAGTAAAATAAATTAATCAATATTTTAACGTTTTGTTTTCTTCTCATCTGTTTTTCACAACTGATATTTGATAGGTGAAGTTTCACTGGAGAAAATTTATTTCAAAAATAGAAATAGTGGGCTCACCGTCTGCCTTGCAAGCATAAGGACCTGAGTTCAATCCCCGGTACAAAAGGAAAAAAAAAAAATAGTGGGCTGATAATGTACCTTAGTGGGAAGGTGCATGCCTAGCACATGTGAGGCCCTAGGTTTGATCCCCAGCACAAAAAGAACACAAAACTATGTGGAATTTAAGTACTACTACTCACTGTAAAATGTAGAAAAATTGATGGTGTGTCTGGTAAGAATACTGGCTTAGGGAGCATAGCTATGAATCCCAACTGCTCTTTTCAGCTGAATATCCTGGCACTATTTCTAAATACCCACTGAGCTTCAGGTTTTTCATGAGGAATAGGAGATAAGACCTGGATTTTGTTTTCATGGTTCTCTAAGCCTCTTTCTTATTCTAGCTCGCAGTTTTCTCATCTAATGTGTACATCAGTCTCATAACAGGGCATCCTCTTTCTAGCCTGCTCCCCAGGAAGTTGTAAAGATCAAATGAGAATGTGCATGAAAGCAAACTGTAAATCATTTTTAAATGTCATAAAAAGATGAGCCATGGAAAAATTTTTAAAGATCATTAGAGTTTATTTTACTTTTTTGGTTCTGGTGCTCAAACCCAGGGCCCTGAACATGCTAGGCAAGTGCTCTACTAGTAAGCTACACCCCTGTCCTGGTGTTATGGTTTAAGTTTAAACTGACCCCCAGAAATCTCATGTGTTCAGAGGTGCAGCTTTTGAAAAGTGAGTGGATCATGGGGGTGCTTTACTCATTAGTGGATTCATCTATTGATGGCTTCATTAGCTAAATGTGCTGTTAGGAGGTAAGGCTTGGCCAGAAGTAGATTACTAGGGACATGACCTGGAAGGGTGTATTCTTGTCCCCGACTCCTTCCTTTCTGCTCTCTGCTTCCTGGCTGCAATGGGTTGTGCAGCTTTCCACTGCCATGCCCTTCTGCAATGCCATTTCTTCATTGGAGCCAGCCAGCTATGGGCTGAACTCACTGAAACAGCCAAAATAGACCTCTCCTTTAAGTTGGAAGTGTTGGGTATTTTGTCCCAGTGATGGGAAAGTGGCTAATAAACTTGGTTTTGCTTTTAAATAGATAATACAGTTGAAGAATGACATGGTTATTTTCCAAGATTATAATTCATTGCTTTTGTTATTAATTTCTAAAGATTACCTTTTTGAGTTGAGAGACTAGAAGACAGGGAGAAGTGTTTTCTTGTTCACTGAGGTCTTGCCTTTGCTTGCTTCCAGCTGCAGCATATTGTCAGTGATGAGATTTGTGTGCAGGTGACTGACCTTTACCTGGCAGAGAACAATAATGGAGCCACCGGTGGCCAGCTAAACACACAGACTTCAAGGAGTCTCCTGGAGTCCACATATCAGCGGAAGGCGGAGCAGCTCATGTCAGATGAGAACTGCTTTAAGGTGAGAACTGCTTATGTGACACAGTACTTTGTTGGTGAGGGTGAAAGTCTTAGGACTCTAGCAAAAGTCAAAGTTGTGTCCTTTGACAAGTGGTGCCACTGCCAGAACTTCTAAGAGTCTGATAGATAGCTTTGTCAGAGGAAACACAAAGAACATGGAGAAGTGGAAGTAGCTGCCTCCCCTATAGTCTACTTTGGTTCTTTGCTGTGTTCTAAAATAATTTGTGATGTGTTTACTTTCTTTTTCCCCCTGAATTTTTATAAGACTTTATATGTGAAATCCATGGTCATTTTAAATTAAATTAAACTTTCTTTCTATATTATTTGGGGGGTGGTGCCTGGGATCGAACTCAAGCCCCTGTGCTTGCAAGGCAGGAGGC